GTACGGAATCCTTCCCTCGAGGATGATTCTGACGAATGGCGTAATTTAAAACCAAACAATAGCCCATGTTTTGAAACAAAGGCAACAAACTTAAATTCGACTCATTTCAATATAACCTTCTACAAAAAAAAAAAAATTTGGCCTCTTCTTGTATCTGGATAATCTGGAACAATCCGCGGCGTCCTACCGAGGACGAACTAAAGTTAAAAATCTCTACAGATACCTTAATAGGTAATCTCAGAAACATGCTTAATACGCTGAAAATACACGACGCAAACCATTATAAATGGGTTGCAAACGGTTCCGACAAAGCTAATGGTGCTAATGCACACATTAAAATCGTAAAATATATTTTCTCTATGCTTATATTTTTCAGAGAAATGTCTAATAAACCTACTTATTCCAATATTGGCCAGTATTTATATTCCTAAAATATTTCCTATTTTTGCTGACTTATACCATTATGTGTCAGAATTGAAGCTCCTAAAGCAAAAATATCTCCTATTTTTACTGACTTTTGCCTATACTTGCTAGTACTTTGTCTTACCCATTTTGAAATTTCAAAGCATTAAAACTCCAAATATCCTAACTCTCCTAATTTTCAATTTACTCCTATTGCCTTAACTTTTCAACTATTTCAAACCTGAGGAGTGAATTGTGGTTAAATAGCTTGAGGAAAACGTTAGACGAGAAACCAACTGATCCTGACCACTAGAGCCGTATGAGATAGGGAATCGATCAATTGCTGACAGGCAGATCTCTATTTTGGCAGATCTCGGATTTGCAAGTCACATCGGGAGTAATAATGGTAAAAAAGATTAAATAACATTAACAGGACGCCGTGGAAGATGTGCTTAATTTTCTCTATGTCAATGGACTTTATATCTATCTCATCTATACTGAGGTCAAGAAATTTGTACATAAATTAACTGCAAGAGACTATAAATCAATTACTCCCTAATAGTATTCCAAGAATCTCTATTATCTTCTTAATTAAAATCAAAAAATTTGATTTAGAGGTTTTCACAATCAAAATTTTCACTTAGTTACGCTTAATTATTATTTCAAGAATCTCTACTTCATCACTGAAAATCGAAAATCAGATTTAAAAATTCCTTCACTGTCAAAATTTAAGTTAGTTAATCTTTCACTGTCAAAATCTTAATCTGTAATATCACGTTTCTGAAATTAAAAACTTGAAGTGATGTAATAGCAAGTATATGTAATTAAAACACTTCGTGAGAGCCCTAAAATATACGACTTAAACTGCAAAAAATTTTCAAGGTTTTCTTTATGCTTAGTTAAACCGAAACCTGGGACCCAACTTACAGCCAGACGGATCTTGGATCTGGCGATCTCAGAGCTACACCCAACAACTGATAATTAACGTTAAACCGAAACCTGGAAGATGAATGAGTGCGAGAATAACCTTGAATCTGTCGAACCTCAGAGGATCTGGCGGACCTCATAGCTGCACCTCTCGGCGAAAAATAACGTCTGAGGAAACTGTAACGCCTCCTGAACCGCCAAACTTCAACGCCGAGAAACCAAGATGTCTCAAGAAAATGGGACAACTACGCTACGTTGCCCTCCTGAATTTATATCACAATACAAACGAGCAACATATTTGCTCTAAAGTATTAAAGATATGAGAAATATGAAGAGATTAAATCATAATCTCTCTTCAAAATCCTAGACAGTAGCGCAGAACCATCAATGTTCTACGTGAGTCTAGTCCTCAAATTTAATGTTTTTCCTTACACCGTGTTCATGCAGCCTAAATGTTAGGAGGAACACGAAAGAACTGAAACCAAATGTTTCTTCAATAAGCTATTTTATATTAGCAAGGAACTTTCAATGTTCCAAGCTAGTTCTATGTTTCAATGTTCTACTTACTTTACATTAGCAAGGAACCTTCAATATTCCAAGCTAGTATGTCTCTTAATATCACAGTCCCTTATCTTCACATATCGACTATAAACAACATAGATAAAATAGCATGCAGCAAGGAACCATCAATGTTCCGCGCTAGTATGTTTTTTAATGATATAGCTTCTTACCTTTACGTTGGCTAAATAGCTTCAAGTCTACATAATTTAATTAATTGTAAATTGTTTACGTAAACTGATTTCAACATAAATCGCTCAAATTATATGTAAACGATTCTGTTATAAAAAAATTTCTACGCAATCTGCATACCCTCTTCTCGCCAATAATTTATTATATGCATTTAATGTTCTACCATTTCATTGGTACACTTCACAACTTTTATATTTTGCATAATCCAAGTAGCCTTGAATCAAAATTTTTATTAAAAATGTATCCGTAAACTAACTCTTATATAACTCTCTCAAAAAAAAAATGTGCGTAAACGATTTTGTTGTAAAACTTTATTATTTTTAACTCATGTAAACCATTTTGTACAATTTAAATAATCTTGGTACGGAGATAATAAATATCTAGATCTTAAAAAATAAATATAAACGGATATGTAGATGATATATTATCCGGAGAAGATTTAATCGTGAAAAGAGAGGAGCAACTAGAAGCAGTGCAGGAGGTATTAAAGAGGGGTGGATTTTCTCTCAAGTTTATCATAAAGAGTGGAGAGAAGCCATCGGAGAAAGCCAGCACTGACAGAGAAACCATGAAACTCTTAGGTTATAAGAGGGACCCGGAAAAGGATGAGCTGTAACCAGGTCTAGGAGGGTTAGATCTGAACAAGAAACTACGAGGAGAACGTAAACCAAACATGAAACCAATCAAAACAACAATGGATGCAGAGAGATTGTTGACTGGAGTAAAATTAACAAGAAGCCTGATAGTCTGGAAGATATCAGAATTCTTTGATCCATGTGGCTTCTTCGAGTCTGTGAAACTACAAATGAAGCTACAAAGTAGTTCTATGAAAGGAAAAGAATGGGATGAAGTATTATCAGAGCAGGATCAAGAGACCTGGAGACAGATCCTGAAAGAATATGTGAACCTACCTGAGATAACAATCCCAAGATTTTGCATACCAAGTAAAAGAGTATCTAAATCCAAGATGAGATTAATTTGCCTGGCAGATGCAGCGGAATTTGCAGGGGGTGAGGCCGTCTACGCAAGCAAGGAAACTAGCCCATGTGTCTGGTCGTTGCTCTTTCTTAGCCACTAAGTCTAAGATGATGAGGGAAACCATTCACAGGAACGAGTTATCAGCAATTCTACTGTGTGCAGAACTGGCTTTCTGCTCTTGGCTCTGAGGTGGGAGAAATTATCTGCGTAACAGATTCTACGATTGCTCTAAGCTGGTGTAGCAATGAGTCCATCAAGCTTAGGTTATTCGTCTACAACAGAGTTATGACAATACTGAGACTATTTGAGTGGACAACGGGATCCAAAAACAAGGTATTGTACTTTATAGATGGATTGTTAAATCTGGGTGATCTTCTCACAAAGGAGCATGAATTAGGAGTAGATACAGTATCAAGAGGTTCTGATTGGATAGAGGGTTTGCCTTGGATGAGAAGGGATAAGGAGTAAATGCCTCTGANTATTATTCTTTATGCCTTATACCGTGAAAAAGTCGGAGGACTACTGTGGTAAATATATTTTTATTCAATTATTCTTTTTATGTTTTGTATCGTATGTTTTGTGATATTGGATGGTTGCAGTTTTTAACCCCTGTTTAGTACTTTCTAATGAATGTTTTTGATTAAGAATGAATTGATTGTACTTTTTGAAGCTTTTCTTAACCTTTAACTGTTTATTTTTGTCAGACTGAAGCACAGATCCCGAAATAATCTTGAAGCCTATTCCTGTCTTTGATTTATGATGATGAGGAGGGATAGTACGGGAGCTTAAGGTTCGTCCCAACAAAATACTGCACGGTACTGGGGGGTGGTATCTTAATGAACAGACCTAATTCTTAACAATCACTGTTTTAATAATGGGTATCTCTGTAAATTATATTGTGGAACTTTATCTAGACTGCTGACGACGGAAGAGTTGAGGAGATGTATCAAGGAGAGACTGATCAAGGAGAGGAGTCTGGAGTATAAGCCTAGGATGAGAATGTTGATCCCTGCGCAGTATCCTAAGGTCTGGGGGGAGCAGCGTGTAGGGAATAAGATTTATATGGTGGGGGAGGTCACTGGACGCCATGACCAGGGAAGAGATGATCCTGTCTCTAAGATACAGGAATGAGAGGGATAAGCTGTGCGAGATCTCTCAGCCTATGATCAGGTTATTGTCCAGGAGCCTGGGAGATTGGCCTAGCCCTACATCAGGAGGCTGCAGGTACTTGCTCCTGGCCTGAGAGCGGTTCTTGCAGCAGATGGACATCCTGGCCAGATCCAAGGTGAGGTGGTCTGATGGAAGGATCTTGGAGATTCCTGGGATGAGGATAAGACCTACTCCAGGTTCAACCTGAGCCAGGAGGAACTGGATGATCAGTCCTGGAAGAACCCTGTGGAGGGGATCAGAGGTATGAGCCAACCTTTTGGACTCAAGATCTCAACGCTGGTCCTTACTGGAGTGGGTGTTGATGAATCCAGCGGAACTTCCTAAGTTTTTTATCCAATTTGAGAAGGATATTGGTTTCCAGCGTTTCTACGGTGGATTGTATGATGGAATGAGGTTGTATCACCTGAGAATCTTAGATGAGAAGGCTCCGGTAGTTGAAGAAGTAGAGAAGAGATTGAGGATGGCTGTCAGCAACTCTTTGGAGGAGGAGACGGAAGGTTTGAAGAAGAGTGAGGCTGAGACCTTGGTGAGGAGGAAGAGGGTGGCTTGGCTGAATAATGTTGTATCCCGGACTGAACCAGAAAAGGGTGAACAGTCCCTTAGATACAATGTGAGATCGGAGAGACCAGATTGGATCAGTACAACCCGAGCCGTAGCAGAGTAGACATAGTCTCCTGCACAATACCGCTCAGGGTTCTGTGCTATATACAGCGCACAGACAGCATACAGAGAGAACCTTTCTGGACGAGTCACAGTAGAAGAAGATGAACCGGGTTCCTGTTATCATACTGAACCCCGCCTACATTGAAGAAGTGGAGCTGGATGAAGATGAAGTTGATCCAGCTGACCTCACTCCTCTTATCAGTGGGAACACTCCCATTGTCACTGTTCCTGCCTCGGAGGATGAAGACGTAGCTGAGGAGGTTGTAGAGGATGAAGATGAGGATGAGAAGGTGGAAGATGTTCCACATATACTCTGGGAAGTAATCCAAGGCTTAGAAGGATTGAACCGGGAGTTAAGGAGTATATTGTCCCTTGGGGACACTAGCTCACAACAGCATACTGTTGGCCCTAACGTTGATGTATGGGACACAGGGAAGGCTTTAGAGCAAGAGTACAGACTGTACCCCGACCCAACTATGGAAGAGGTCAGGGATAGGCTGTCTAATCAGGTGTGGGATCTGCTCCAGATTATGCAGGAGCGGGTTGACCAGAATACCTGCAATAATATAGATATGAAGTTGATAGACGGACTGAAAGCTATAACAGTCATGCACGCTAAACTCAGTAGCCTAACTGAGAAAGTGCTTAAACGTCAAGCTGAGAAACCTTAGGATCAGAAAGGGACCGAAGCTAATAATCATACCAGTAGATATCTTTATGTGATGTTATATATGCATTTATGAATATGTAAATAAATGTAATAACGTTGTAAGAATGAGTTTATTACTTTGGGTGTTAGTAATTGCATGTGCAAACAACTGTATAAGGTTTACTCTGTATTATGGAAGTGACTGAAGTATAGTAATGCCAGGTTGCAAAGATATTAACAGTGCATGAGGGTTAGGCCTGAGTGGAGGAATAACCCGATCTGCAATGTTATCAGGTTGCACAGATGATAGATAAAACAAGTAAGATAACTTGAAGTAGAATCTCATCAAAGTGCCAATTTAAGTTGCTAATTTATTGCATATGATTAGTGGTGCGAGAATACCACAATAAGCTTTCCACAGATTGGGAGTATGTGGAGAGGACGAGGTGGAAGGAGGAGACCCCTGCTCTGTCTGCTCCGAAGAAGAGATCTGGGTAAAGAGGAAGGCCAGTAAAAGACCTGGTAAATTGAAGAGAATGAGGATGAGGAGTCTGAAGGAGAAGGAAGCTGGTTCTAATGTTGAGGAGCTTGTTGGTACTCCTCTGAGTCAGCCTACTCCTGGTCCATCCGGAGTCAGGAATGATTTTGGAGGAGAGTCCTCCGGGCCTCAGCAGGAGGATGGCAGCAAGGAGGTGGTGATGATTCAGGAGGAGGATGAGGTGTTCCTGGATGAGGAGGTAGAAGAGGAAGAGAAGGAGCCTAAGAAGAAGAGGATGAGTGCAGCTCTGAAGTTCTCTTGGAGGGTCATTGAGAGACCTCCGAAATACAATGAACTTATCGAAGGAGTTCCTCAGAATGCATTCCCAGAGGATCTGGACATGAAGTTGGAGATTCCTTGGGAAGAGAGGTTCTTTTAGAAATAGTGATTATATTATAAACTTAAATCTATATTGATTTATTAGTGAAACATTATCTTAAGTGGATTCTAGGTGTTGGAAGCAAGCAAGTCGCGGGGTGCAGACAGAACTTTTTTCTTGCTTCTCGCCTGGTGGGTGAGTGTTACGCAGCTCACGCTTTGTGATGGAAGTCTGTCAAGTATCCCTGTTTATACTATTCACCCCTTTTCAAGATGTTTGTTTTCAAGAGAGTATGTAGTTATATAACCTGTTTTTTTACCGACAATTATCCTGTATTTTTGTCAGTTAGCCGTCATACGTCTTCAAATCCCGAGTTATATATATTATTCTTTATGCCTTATACCGTGAAAAAGTCGGAGGACTACTGTGGTAAATATATTTTTATTCAATTATTCTTTTTATGTTTTGTATCGTATGTTTTGTGATATTGGATGGTTGCAGTTTTTAACCCCTGTTTAGTACTTTCTAATGAATGTTTTTGATTAAGAATGAATTGATTGTACTTTTTGAAGCTTTTCTTAACCTTTAACTGTTTATTTTTGTCAGACTGAAGCACAGATCCCGAAATAATCTTGAAGCCTATTCCTGTCTTTGATTTATGATGATGAGGAGGGATAGTACGGGAGCTTAAGGTTCGTCCCAACAAAATACTGCACGGTACTAACTTTGTATAACCCAGGCCAATGCCAGTTGCGAAACACTTCTCTTGTTCCTGGTTCTTATCAGACTGGCTCCTGGATTCTCTTTTCATTCTTCCCAGATTTTATCCTTCCATCTCTTACAGATTCTTTGTTTGTGATCTCTACAGGATAGGAGATAACTAGGATATCCAGTAACAAGGATATCAATATTTAAAATTTGGTGATGGGTTGACCCTCGTCAGTTTTAACGATAAAATAACCATCAAAATTGTGGTGGACATATATTATGCCCTAGGAGCAGCTGTGGCTATTGTGGATATATCTTATACTTAAGGAGCAGCTCAGTAATGTACAGCTAACATATCAGAGAATCAAGGAGTAGCTCGGTGATGTACAGCTTACATATAAGAGTCTCAAAGAGCAGCTAGGTAATGCACAGCTAACATATCAGAAACTCGAAGACCAGCTCAGTAATGTACAGCTAACATGTTAGGGAATCAAGGAGCAGCTCAGTAATATACAGCTAACATTTAAGAGACTCTAGGAGGAGCTGGATTTGGGAGACATTAGAAGCAGGATCACAGTAAAGGAGATACTGAACTGGAGCAGCAGAACAAGATATCGAGTTGAGGGAGCTGTCTAGTCAAATAATGAACAGTAGCAGCTAAACAAGATATCAAGTTAAGGAAGCTGCATAGTTAGATACTGAACAGGAGCAGCTGAACGAGATATCGAGTTGAGGGAGCTGCCTAGTTAGATACTGGACTGGAGCAGCTAAACGAGATATCGAGTTGAGGGAGCTGCCTAGTTAGATACTGGACTGGAGCAGCTAAACGAGATATCGAGTTGAGGAAGCTGCCTAATTAGATACTGAACAGGAGCAGCTGAACGAGATATCGAGTTGAGGGAGCTGCCTAATTAGATACTGAACAGGAGCAGCTGAACGTGATATTGAATTGAGAGAGCTGCCTAATTAGATACTGAACAGGAGCAGCTGATTGAGATATCGAATTGAGGTAGCTGCCTAATTAGATACTGAACTCGAGCAGCTGAAAGAAATATCAAATTGAGGGAGCTACCTAATTAGATACTGAACAGGAGCAGCTGAACGTGATATTGAATTGAGGGAGCTACCTAATTAGATACTGAACAGGAGCAGTTGAACAAGATATTGAATTGAGAGAGCTGCCTAATTACACCAGAGAATTCTGAATATCTGAACAAAATGTTGTGAGACAAAATTGAAATGTAACAAATATAATTGTATCAATAAAAGATAAATTAATGAAAGAATCCTATTTACTCATTACTCAGATAAACATGGAAGTATATGAATAACCAGAAAGGGACACTTTATGAAATTGGTACTGGGATCGAAAGTGAAGTCTTTGTATTAACCCAATCCTTATTGGATGAGGGTCAAACGGTGGACCTTGACGTCCTTGGAATTTATATTTGGAATTTGAATGATATAACTTTAATTTACTTCAACAGATAATAGCCCTGTTTCTTTGGTACTATACAAGATTCAAAACAATCAAAACAAAATTTAAACAAATTTTCAAAAATAAATTTATATTGATTTTAATAAGTCAATCGTATCTTTAGATAAGTTTTCAATTTACTTAAATTAAAATAAAAAATATACTAATCTGTAGAACACACCATATCTGTTCATTTAATTCTATTTTAAATATTAACAAATATAAATACAAATTATAATATGCAATTTGATTTACTTAAATATTTCAGCTAGGCAGAAACATTAATGAATCACATTAAAATTATATTTAAGGTGGTGAGAAAACTGAATCATATCCCTGTGATGTGGCAATAGGAGATATTGGTGTTCTAGAAGGACTAGGTAAACATACTTTTGTATAGAATATATCTTGAGCTAAGAATTCAAATAAAGTTAAAACAAGCATAAATAATATAATGTAGTTTACAACGAGAAAATCAAATTTAAATATACAATTTAAATCTATCACAAAATTATAGATTAATTTATCTTACAATATGGAATTCTTATGTTAATACAACAAAATATAATTGATTTTCTAATTATAAGATCATAAGAAAATAAATGTATCTATTTTGTATAATATATTGGTTTTAATAAAGGTGTATTTTTATTTAGTTTATTTTTATTAATATATCTTAGGAGCTGCAGTTCTGAATGGACAGATTGTTTACTGCGGGGGATTTAGAAGTGGTGGTATGCAACTTAGGAGTTGATACATAAAGTTTAATTACATTATTACTTTTAATAACATTAAACCTATCTATTACTTAATGATTATTCAGTGGTGAATCCATATTTAAAATTTCCCTATTAAAACAGATGATTAAGGATTATAATTTAGACATTTTATATTGGAAATTCTTGAACATTTAGGTTTTATATTTTAGAAATAATCACTGTAAAAAAAGTAACTTAACACCTTCTACTTAGAATAATAATAATAATTATTAGGAACATGGAACAGGAATATATTTTTAAAACACGGAACATCAATAAATTTGGAACATGGAACAGTACACGGAACATCAATATATTTGGAACATGGAACAACAATAAATTTCGAACATGAACAGCAATATATTCGAAACATGGAACAGCAATAAATTTTTGGAACATGGAACAGTGATTTAAAACATTAAGACTGGCTAAAGAAAAGAATTTCACAAATGAATGAATGAAATAAGTCTGGTCATTAAAATCAAATTTATTAAAAGATATTTCTTTCAATAATAAGATAGATGGAAAATAAATATATTTTATTGGCGATGATAACGAAATGTACCATGTACTTTTCACTTTTTATGTATGTACAAGTAAACTGTACAATATTTTTCATTTCTTATAACAAATACTTTATCATGTATGTACACGTATATACCACATGCATATACCCAAAACCATTGATATTTTCACAAATACTTTATCTTGTATCACATATACCATGTATATATCATAAGAATCTTTTAAT